GTTCTAATGACCCCTAATATAACCTGGGCTCCTTACGGACTGTTCCTTGAACATAGCGGTTCTTTCAAACTTGGCTGTTTTTTCCCCATTCCTCTTGGAATATGGTCCCTTCTCATTTCCAAGTGTCCAGATCCTATGTGTTCTTGAACGTATATTTCTAACAATCCAGAAATAGCAATACTACCACGCCCCTTTTCCTTGTCCATAGCAGACAACACTGACTGCTGAATCTTGACTCCTCAAAATCCTTCTCAATTAAACAGACCTAGGCAATCCTTACTTATCAGTCCATGCTGACATATAAGATGAACTTATCTGGCACTCCTACAGCAATCTAATGTAAGTGCCCTCTTCTCCCCTATTCCCAGTTCCTTGTACTCTTGGGGAGCTTATCTCTTCTACCTTCTATGAAGAATCATTTACTTAATTGTCTTACCTCCCTTTCCTACTAGATTTTAATTTATACAAGGGTAGTGATCCTGTTTTATTTATCTTCATAGGCCCTACAGAGCCTTGCAGGAAATAAATAGGCAGAGTCACTGAAATGAACGCTTCATACCTTTGCTATTATTTCAGCACTCAAAATGGCTACACACCTGAAAACTTCATTTTTGAACAATTAAATTCTTCTCGAAGGACTTAAAGTTTATTTTATCAATTTTAGCTACCATTCCTGCTTTAATGTACTGAGACATTGTCTAATATCACACAATACCAACAGAGTCAATGAACAGAACAAGATAAAATGAGAACACTGAATCCATTTTGAGGGTCTTACAGAAGATAATGAATTAAACTATCACATTTTGAGAATTTTCACATACCAATCTCTTTAATCAAAAGCAAAACGTTATTTCTGACAACAGAGAAATGAAAGGACTCCGAGCATCAAAAATATACACTGCTGGTGTAAATGGGATTGTTTTCTTATTCTCCCTTTCTGATAGTTCATTATTAGCGTGTAAAAATGCAACTGCCCTGATCAGTGTGGCTCAGGTGGGCCCAGCTGGTTGAGTGTTGTCCTACAAAGCAAAAAGTCACCAGTTCGATTCCCAGTCAGGGCACATGCCTGGGCTGTGGGTTCGGTCCCCAAATGGGATGTGAAGAGGAGGCGATCAATCAATGTTTCTCTCCCTCTTTCTCCCTCTCTCTAAAAATAAGTAAATAAATTCCTTTAAAAATACAACTGATTTCTGGATATTTATTTTGTATCCTGTTACTTTACTGAATTCGTTTATCAGTTCTAGTAGTTTTTCTGTGGAATCTTTAGGGTTCTCTATGTATTGTATCATGTCGTCTGCACATAATGACAATTTTACTTCGTCCTTTCTTACTGAATGCCTTTTATTTCTTCTTCTTGTCTGATTACTGTGGCTAGGACCTCCAGTACTATGCTGAATAAGAATGGTGAAAGTGGATACCTTCGTCTTATTCCTGATCTAAAGGAAATGCTTGTAATTTCTGCCCATTGAGTTTGATGTCAGCTGCGGATGTGTCATATGTGGCCTTTATTACATTGAGGTATGTTCCCTCTGTTGCCAGTCTGCTGAGAGTTTTTACCATAAAAGTGCTGGATTTTATAAAATGCTTTCTCTGAATCCATTGACATAATCGTGTGGTTCTTATCCGTCCTTTTACTTATGTAGTATATCACATTTACTGATGCGTGGATACTGCACCAACTCTGCATCCCTGGAATAAATCCCACTTGATCATGACATAGGATTTTTTTAACATGTTGCCAGATCTGGTTTGCTAATATTTTGTTGAGCATTTTAGCATCTATGTTCATCAGGAATGTTGGCCTATTTACAACTGCGCAAAAAATGAAATAAAATACCTAAGAATAAATATAATCAAGGATGTATAAGACCTCTACTTAGAAAATTATAAGACTCTAGGAAAGAAAATAAAGAACATACAAATAAATAGAAGCACATATTATGTTCATGGATAGGGAGAATTAACCATAGGAAGGCCCTAGCCAGGTAGCTCAGTTGATTAGTATGCTATCCCAATATGCCAAGGCTTCAGGTGCGATCCATAGTCAGGGTACATACAAGAAGCAACAAGTAGTAGTAGTTTTTTCACTTAAAAAAAACCTTAAAAATTTTTTTTTAATTTTTAAAAGATGCCCATACTACCCAAAGCAATCTATAGACTCAAAGCAATTCCTATCAAGCCACCAATGGCATATTTCACAGAACTAGAACAAATCATCCAAAAATTTATATGGAACCACAAAAAACTCTGAATAGCCAACTCCATTCTGAGAAAGAAGAGCAAAGTTGGAAGAAGCACATTACATGATACCAAACTATACTACAAGGCCACAGTAATAAAAAATAACATGATACCTGCATAAAAACAGACATACAGGTGGATGGAACAGAACAGAGAGCCAAGACCTTTATGATCAATTAATAATTGACAAAGGTGGCAAAAACAGTCCAGTCAATAACTGGTATGGGAAAAACTGGACAGATATGTGCAAAAAAATAAAAAAATAAAACCAGACCACCTTCGTACATCATACACAAGAACAAATTCAAAATGGACTAAACACTTAAATGCTAGACTTACAACCATAAAAATCCTAGAAGAAAATACAGGCAGTGAAATCTCAAACACTGCTCATAACAGTATTTTCTCTGCTGTATCACCTCGGTCAAGGGAAACAAAAGAAAAAGAAACAAATGTGACTACATCAAATTAAGAAGTTTTTGCACAGCAAAGGAAACCATCAACAAAATGAAAAGACAATGTGCTGAGTGGAGGAACGTATTCACCAATGGCATATCTGATAAGGGGTTATCCAAAATTTATAGAGCACTTATATAACTCAACTAAAAAAACAAGCAACCCAATTAAGAGATGGGAATAGGAAGAGGACCTGAATAAACACTTCTCCAGAAAGGACATACAGAGGGCTAATATACGTATGAAATGATGCTCAATGTCACTAAATACAAAGAGAAATACAAATTAAAACCATAATGGGTTATCACTTCATATTGGTCAGAATGGCTATCAAGAAGAAAAGGGAACATTTGTGTGCTGTGGGTGGAAATGCAGATTGGTGGAAGCAGTATGAAATTACCTTAAAAAATTAAAAAAGGAACTGCCTATGATTCGGCGATTCTACTTCTAGGAATATATCTGAAGAAACCTAAAACACTAATTAGAAAGGATATATGCCCCCTATGTTCACAGTAGTACGATTTGTAACAGCCAAGATTCAGAGGCAGCCCAAGTACCCATTGTACAGGAGTGAATACAAAAGCTGTAGTATATTTACACAATGGAATAAGAAGCTGTGAAAAAAGAAGGAAAGTTTACCTTCTGCAACAGCATGTACGGCCCTGGTGAGTATTAAGTGGAGTAAGCCGGTCAGAGAAAGACAAATACCATATGATTTCCCTTATGTGTGTAATCTAATGGAAAAAAAAAATAGAAACAGACTCACAGATACAGAAAACAGATGGACAGTTGTTGCAGGGGGGTGCTATTGGGGGACTCAGTGTTAAAGGTAAAGGGCTTAGGCAAAAAACCCACCACTATCACCAACCAAAACCAAACCCCCTCACAGACATAGACAACTGGAGGGAAAGGAGGTGGGGGAGGTAAAAGAAGGTAAAGGGGGGAGCAAAATGGTGACAGACGATGACTTGACTTTTTCTGGTGAACACATAATAATAATACAATATACTGATAATGTATTATAGAATCGTACACCTTAAACCTGTATAATCTTATTAATCTATCTCACCCCAATAAATAAATTCAATAAAAAACAAACAAACAAAATACAGATTACTCAAGAAATTGTTTGGAAAAAAGATGGAGAGATGAAAATAAAAACAAAATGCTAAAAATCAAACAAGGCATCAATAAAGTTAGACAGTCATAAGAATTTTGTATCTAAATCAGAAATGCAGTTCTAGGTCCTGGTGGGTGAGGGGAGGGAGAGTTTAAAAAAAGGAGAAAAAGAAGCAGTTCAACAGACAGTGGTAGAGGAAAACTAGTAGTACAGTAAGACTCATGCTGCCATCTAGAGGTTCAGGGCTAGATGATTTTTCTCTTCAACCAGTCAAATTAGACAGAGGTAGGACTGAACAGACCTTATTATAAAGTAAGCCAGACAAGTAACTCTGATGTCGAGCCACAGTGAAGAATATTCAGGGTATAAGAGTGCAAGTTATTCTCTCCCTGCGCTCCTTCATAGATTAAAATAAAAAAATTTTAAAAGTGAATGTCCTTTAGAATTTTACCCATACTACTAAATATAAACAGCCACTTTTTCAAAAATTACATGCCTAGAGGGTAGAGAAGGCTACTATAACACAGGCTAGCTCGAAGCATAAGTTTTTCTTTGGTGTTACCACCAAAGAAAGTTGTATCAATTAGTTTCCAGTACACTCAACTTCATCAATTAGATTACTGGGATGAAATATCGAGTTTAAATGGGGAAGTCTCAATCTGTTTAATATTTTATAGTATATGGTAAAGTGTAATCAAGGACAAATGCATCAAATTCAATACCTCTTCATGATAAAAAAAACACCCAACAAAGAATAAAAGATAACTTCCTTAACCTGACAAAGAGCATCTACAAAAGACCCGCAGCTAACATCATAATGCTTTCTCCCCAAGATTAGGAAGAAGACAAGTATGTGCACTCTCACCACTTCTATTTAACACTGTACTAGACTTCCTAGCCAGGGCAATTAGACAGGAAAAAGAAATAAAATATCCATATTGGAAATGAAGAAGTAAAACTATCTCTATTTGCAGATGACCTAATTTAGTGTACTGAAAAACTTAAGTGATCTACTGAAACACAATTAGAACTAAAAATGAGTTAAGTTGCAGGATATAAAATACATATATAAAAATTAATTGTATTTCTCTATGGCAGCAATGAGCAAACAGAAAATGAAATTAAGAAAATAATTTCACTTATAATACATGAAAAAAATGACTAATTTTTAAAAATTCATAATTGTTCATGTCAGTCTGTCATGATTTTAGCCTCATAAAGGCAAAATAAAAAATGATAACATAAGATTTTATTTCAGCAGGACTTATGTAAGTACACTTTAATAAATGAAGTATGAAACTTACACTTTGCAAACTAAAAATAGTGTCGAAAGAAATTAAAAAATATGTAAGTAAAGAGAAAGACATACACATTCATGACTGATCTTAACATTTAGATGGCAATACTCCCATCTAAAACATCTTTAGTAGGTTACCTGAATGACTACTAAAAAGGTCTGTAGCCTTAAGTGACAGGGGAATAATTTTTTTAAAGGTAAAAACTGCAAAGAATCAGTAGTATTCATTAAGATTCATAACAGTTCAATGGGCCTTAGAATAAAGCAAGCTATGTACTGTGCAACTTACATAACTAAGTCCGGATCATGCCCAGGTCATAATAGTAATGAGTAGGGTTTGGGTGTAAGATAAAACCAAACCAGTATCAACAAGCTTCATACTATCTTTACTATGTGTGGCTGATCATCCTCTGTCAAAAGAGGAAAAATTCCAGATATTACAAGACCTTCAAATATTACTTTTCATCATTAAATCATGAGCTGTCCAGAAACAGCTCATGAAAAATTTCCAGAATTTGGTAACTTTTCAGTTTCAAGTCAATGAATTTCATTAGAAAAATTCTGTCATTTCATTGGAAGGCATCTGTAGTTCATTATTCATTCAATCAGAAAATACATACTGTACATTTTACTATATACCAAGTTATATATGGATTACAAAGCCCCAAAATATGATCCTTAACTTATCATCAATCCAAAAGACAAGACATGTACCAAAAATCTCCCCAAATGCCAAATGGGAAAAGTGCCATACAAAATAAACTAGAGTAATTTGGGACACTGAAGAAGAGTTCACTTTTCACATCAAGTTTGAAAAGGAAAGGCTGACGAAGGAGGCAAATACTGGGCACAGTAACGAAGGATGAATAAAAGTTCTGCTATTAGAAACAGGCCCAGGGGGGACTCTGAGAAAAAGGAATAGCATGAAGAAAATTAAGATGGTAAAGTGCTCTGGGAAGAGTGAATATGTCAAACAGGAATGGTGCACAGTGTTTAGGTGAAGTAGGAAAGAAGGCCAGTGATAGGCTAGAGCCAGAGAGTAAAGGATTTTGAATGCCATGCAAAGGAATCTGAATTTATCATATGGGTAATGAAGCACTACTAATGACTTACAAGCAAAGGTCAGCAGAAGAAATGATACTTTAGAAAAATTACTCCAGTAGTGGCAAACAAGAGACTGGGATAAGGTAGTGAGAAGGGACTCCAGCAGTTCCAGTACAACAGGAAGGACGATGAGCTCAGATGGAAGCAAAAGAAATGGAATCCTTTATATAAGGTAGTTTACAATTTCTTGTATTTCTACATATTTCATGGGAGTTTCATATAAATTAACTGCCCAAATCAAGCCAAGAGGCCCCAGGCATAAAAAGCTATAAAAGCCTATGCAAAAATTACTGCATTCACAAATCTGCACACCAGAAGGGTTATCTAAGACATAATCATGTACCAAATCACGGGCAGAGGTTGTCTTTTTAAAGACACAATCAAGTTACTATCAGCCTCATACTAACGTTTTCACAATGCTCTGGGAAGTGACAAACAGTCATGTTTTGAGGACAAATATTTTTCGCATTTTTTTGCTTTCCATTATCTTTGTCAGTGCAGATATTTGCATGAAAACAGGATCACCGGTCCTTGGGGATTCATCAGTTCCTATTGCTTATTTTTCATCCATGTCATCCTCTCAATTAATGCAGGAAAGAGGATTGAGACATCGAATACCAGCTTAGGGTACCAAGTAAATGTCATCTTGTTTTTATGCAAATACACTATACACAATAAAACAAAGAGAGACTGTATCCAAGGAGTCTGATACGTATTAATGTAATTCTTTCCAATTCCAAACTTAAAAACTATTTTCTTTGTCAGCTAATTCCTTATGATCAAGGAAAATGAAATCAGTTGCAAAGCACTGCCACAGAAGTTTAAATAAGGCTGAATTTTGAACTGGAAAATAATTTTGAAAAATCTTAGCTGTGCTCATGGGACTTTTCTGGCAGAAATCAGCATTTCTGTTGTAGAATTTTGTTTTAGTGTTTCAGATGGCTCATTAGGTGACATCAAATCATCCCAATTTCAAAGCCTTAAGTTTTAGAAATACATCAAACAATAATGGTTTTAACTGTGCAGATTAAAAACTAAAACTAAAAGAATCCATAATAAGTTTCTGAGTCAGTGGAAAGCCATTATAATAGACTTTACTGATGCTTAAGTAACTGACACATTCTAAAAACTGATAAAAAGAAATAATCATTTATTTAGTCAATGTAATAACAGTTGATAAGATAAAAACCATCACTGAAAAATTCTAGCTAATCAAAAGGGATGACATAATTAGAATATTACTATTTTGCAACCTATAATAAAATAGTGGACCTAGGCAGTTATCAAGGCTGATAAAATTCCAGGTTTAAGACTGATGGAGAATTTTACAATAAACGCTATATATAAAGCTAGCAATAACTTTATCAACTATTTAATCTTAACATCACAGAGAGAGACAGACATAATATACCTTCTGATGAAAGTACACAACACCTTTTCTAACTACCAGGAAGTAAAAAGGCATAGATGAACACACTAAGCACTACCACACGGATGTAAGCAACAAAATCTAGAATACGGAAACTTTCACAGAACAAATAACTAGGTTTAATAAATGACAAGGGAAAATAAAAGGGAGGCAGAACTATGACAGACTAAAAGAGACTTATCAACAAAATATGATATATGAATAGTATTCAAATCCTGACTCAAATTAATTGTACAAAAATGATTATGAGTCAACCAGGGAAATCAGAATCCTGATCAGCTATTTGATGACACTGAGAAAGTTTGTTAAAATTTTTTAGGCATAACGATGGATTGTAGTTATATTTTGAAAAAAGAGAAGAGAAGAGAATAGAAGGAAGGAAGAGTCCTTGTCTTTTCAACCATATATGAAGTTATTTGACCGTAAGGTAATATGATGCCTGAAATTTGCTTTAAAATAATCACGGGAGGTTGGGAGGTTGGTGTAAGTCAACAGATTGGCCACGTTGACAACAACAACAACAACAACAACTACTACTACTACTACTACTACTACAGCCAGGTTGTAGTACAGAAGGTCATTATTTTAGTCTCTCTGTCCAGGGGGAGGTTAGAATAGTATACTACTACTACTACTACTAGAGCCAGGTTGTAGTACATAAGGTCATTATTTTAGTCTCTCTGTCCAGGGGGAGGTTAGAATAGTATAGGAAATGGAGAAGCCAAAGAACTTATATGTATGACCCATGGACATGAACTAAAGGGGTGGGGTGGAATGCTGGTGGGAAGGGCATGCAGGAGAATAAAGGGAAGAAAAAAATGGAACAACTGTAATAGCACCATCAATAAAATGTATTTTAAAAAACAAAATACAAAAAATAAATTACAATGGCTTCCTACCTTCATAAAACATAATAAAGATACCTTCTGTATTGCAGCTAGAACTCACCATGAAATACACAATAGACAACCCTGATTAAATGTGACCTGGGTACTCACACTCATCCAGCCCCAGCTGATAGGCCAGGTTCTGTAGGCCTCGTACCTTCTCCATCAAATTAGCTGTCGTGAGGCTCCCCAGTTCTGAAACAGAGTAATTTATTTCAATACCATTTCTTCCCACTGTTCTCTAGTAACAACTCATTCGAGTTGGGAATCCTTGTTTTGAAAAGTTTTTAAGCTTAATTTCTATCAAATAAGCAGAAAATAAAGCTATTTCTTTTCTCATCTAACCTTTCCCCCTACACACACATACACACATGTACCGCAGTGAATTTTTCCCACTACTGCAAAATGCCTCAGATGAGCTGACCCACTATGAGAAGAGAGTAGGCATAAACACAACAGTAAATTATGTGCTTATCCTAAGGATCTTCTTATAACATTCCTTCTGCCTATCATGCAAAATGAATATACCATTAAAATTCGAAACCTTGGGACCTGACGTAGCACTGAGAAAGCCCACAGACAAGACCCGTCTTACAAAACGGACACTGTCTCCACTGTCTTTGATTAAGTCTGCATTATTGCAATGAACAATAAAACAGTAACAAAACATGTGTGGCTCCCCATTTCCCTAAGTTGAGAAAACAAAAATGAATATTAATCCAAACTTTCCCTTCAAATCAAATACCTATAAAAGACGGTGTACTTGAAATAAAAACTTACTTTCCCAGATTTTCATTTAAATACCACAGCATGAAATTCCTTTTAGGTTTAAGACATGGGTCAACATACATGGAAGATAATGCTATCATCCCTTATTAAAAATGTAAAGTTTCCTTAGGAAATGCACACTGATAGCAAAGTTTATAAACGTCTGTTTGGGACATTAGAACAATGAACTCAACATGCCCTTAAGACTTATTATTTCCATGGCTGGAGGAGGGAAATCTGCAATTAAGCATTTTGTGGAGTACAATGAATTACCCTTGAAATCAAATAAAGCTGTTATTTTCTCTCACTCATCATGCCATACTCATCGTCAATGTCTGGCACAAACAGCAGACTTTCTTGACCTGTTCAGTTGCTTAAATAGCATAAGAGTCCAAGATTTTTAATCTTCATTTCAGTCTATTACTTCACAATCATCATGAATCTTATCACCAGAGGATGATTAAAAATAAATAAATAAAGTAGGGCAAAAATCAAGGAAAATTAATGTTTTTTAATTTAAATTTCCACTTGTGATTTAGTTCCGAGTCATTTATCAAATGACAACATTCACTACTTTAGTACGCTTTATGGGAGAAATTGATTGGATAGATTGTCAGTACTGAAATAAAAGACAGGTCTTAACCTAGTAAGGGATTGTCAATTAACAGTACTGACAACAATACATGGCAGTAAATCCTAAATAAGGCACTTGTTTATTGTGGAAAGAGACTAAACTTAAAATTAAAAAAATAAGAGTTTAAATTTTTTCACTCTATCCAATTTTGGTTAAGTTATTAACCTTTGAATTGTAGATATCACCATACCTAACTCACAGAACCTTTGTGAGAATTAAATGAGAATATTTATGTGAGTTTTTTGTTAACTGCAAGCTTTATACAAAACAAAGGTAGCCCTGGCTGGTGTAGCTCAGTGGATTGAGTGCGGGCCTGTGAACCAAAGGATTGTGGTTCAATTCTCAGTCAGGGCACATGCCTGGGTTGCAGGCCAGTTCCCGGCAGGGGACACACAAGAGGCAACCATACACTGATATTTCTCTCCCTTTCTCCTTCCCTTCCCCTCTAAAGATAAATAAATAAAAAACAAACAAACAAACAAAAGAGACCTAAAGGTAATAGCAGAGGAATTTAGTAGCAGAAGAAATCATTACAAGCAGGTCCTAAATTAGAAGGATTTCTACACATGGGAAAGTAAAGAAAGAAATCTAGACATGAAGAACTATTAACAAGAATAGTTAAGAAGGCAGTTTGAAGCTAAGAACACTTTTAAGGGAAAGTTGAAAGAACAACTAGGAAGGTGGTTTGTGGGGCAGCATAAATATCAGGTAAAAGTAAGAGGCCCTCGGCATAGCTACCTTTCAACATGTCGATGTCATCACGTTCTATTTCAGCCATCCATTTGGGTGGTGAACTAGTAATAGGCTGCCAAAAAATAAGAATATATCCATTCAGATACATACAAAGTGAGAAGAGACCCTACTCTTCCTTCTTACAAGTAGCTTGCCACACAGCATTCAGGTTGTTTGAAAATAGTGCCAAACTATAACTTCTAAAACTCAGATTTCTCCAGGTTCAGATATAGCCTATAAACAGTCACCTTACAAAATAATACTGCTCATCCTTAGAGCTGGTCTCAGAGAAATGGTTGTGGAAGGATTAGGTCTGACTACTGTTATTGTTTTAAGCATAATGGGTTAGCATGGCAATAAAAAAAAAATGACTTGTTGCAGGTTCTCTCTAGAGTACGCCCCCTACTTTTCTTCCATCTCAGGTGTACATTTTTACTTTTCTCTCCTAAACTCAAAGGGCCCCCCACGAGACTTGCAACCAGGGGAGCAGTGGGCAGCAGCAGCCCATCCCAGCTAACCTGTGACTCTTCAGTGTGCTAAATGCAGCCCCACCCTGGGTCACTTCTGTCACTATGACTTTTACTTCTCAGTGAAATCACACAGCCCAGCATGGTTCACTTCTTTCCTACAGTGACTCTAGGGAGTCAAAGCAGAGCCCGCCTAGACTCTCTCCTGTTGCTTCCTCTACCCTAAGCCCTTCTTTCGTTTCACTGTCCCCAGCTTTAATAAACATACTCTCAAAATAACAAGAAATAAATAAAAAGAAACTACTTGAAATTCAGTTCTGGTGAAAGCTTCCAACTGAAATGTTTGAAACAATACCCGGTAGATAGCACTGTCTAGCAGAGGCAAAGATATAACGAAGAACTGAGAATGAGAAAATCCTCAATTTGTAAGATCACTGTAATGATCAACGCTTAAAGTTTCATTTTATGATAGATGTTTTAGAAAACTTTAGAATTTTAAGTTATCTTCTCATTTCAGAAAGTGAACTTACAAAATTTCAAAGAGCCCATTCTTAGAATAGCTTTGGGCGAGTTTTCAATCCTAGTTGCAAGCAAGAATCATCTAGGATATAACAAACAAATGAAACAAACAAACAAAAATGACCTGGCCATGGCCCAGGCGCTCTGATTTAAAATATCAGGAGCGGGGGCAGGGTGCAGTGGAGAGAACAGAGCAAGAAACATTGCACGTGTATTGCTAAAGCTCCACAACTGCACGCTGCCAATTCTGTTGTGCAGGCAGGGGCACAGCTGGGAAACACGACTTCAGCTTTGAGCCCTTGTTCTTTTAAAAAATTTACCAACACTATGTGACGAGCAAAGCACTTTACATGCATTGTCATTTAATCAACCCTATGAAGCAGATATTATTATTCTCATTTTACAAATGAAAAAACTAATGTACAGGAAGATTATAAATCTCTTGCCTCAGATCACACGGCTAGTGAGCCAGAACTCAAAATCCATGTAGTATGAGTTCAGAATCACCACTCTATACTACCTCCTCCAGAAGGTTCTAGGTCAAATTCACCATTTCAGGAAATACATTATAGCAGGGGACCTGGGATGACCCTGAACCCCTAGAAATAAAACTCAATATGTTTGTGCATACTTCTAGAGAAAGATGTAGATCACCAAATTTTCAAAAAATAACATACTCTAACAAAAGTTATTTTAAAACTACTTATTTATGACCAAAATACTTAGTTGTTACCATATACAATTAACTAAACTAGATAGTCAGTATGAATGTAAAAAAAATTAAATCAGTCCTGACTGGTGTAGCTCAACAGGTTGAGCATTTTCCCACAACTGAAAAGTTGCTGGTTCGATTCCTGGTCAGGACACATGCCTGGGTTGTGGGCCAGATCCTGGTTGGGGGCATGCAAGGGGCAATTGACCTGTTTTTCTCCACGTTTCTCTCCCTCCCCTTCTCCCTCCCTTCCCCTCTCTCTAAAAAAAATAAATAAAATCTTAAAAAAAAAAATGAAATCAGGTACTTTCTGCTCTATGAACGAGACAGAAGCTGATTTAATACTAATAGCTACTGACTAGTAGCAATTATGTTTCTTATGTCCCAGGTACTCTGCACAGTGTTTAACATGCATTATGGCACTAAGAATCCTATGAGGTAGTTTCAGACGAGAAAATTAAGGCTCAAAAATATCAGAAAAGTTGCTGAGATGACAAATAATTAAGAAGCAGATTCAGGATTCAAATCCAAGTGTGTCTGACTCCAAAGCCCTACACTATTCTAAACTCCACATGCTAATGAAGCACTGCTAATGCTAATGAGGCCTGCTTACACACAACCCTAGCTCTTGAAAAAAATGAAAAGAGGCTACAAAGTCAAACTCCCTCTGAACAAATACTTTCATGGACCTGAAAGTCACAGGCCCAAAGGGGCCTTAATATTTAACTCAGTACTTTTAACTCTAATAACGAGTACAGAATGCTAAACATATAGCACGGTACTGTGAGCTTTACATTATGAATCGCTCATGTTATGGTTTAACAGAAAGAGCATGGGCTTTGCAATCAGACAGGCCTGTGTTCAAATCCTGTGTTCAGATCCTGGCCTGCTACTAGGACTTGGGCAAATAACTTTTCTTCCAAGTGTTTCTGCCATCAGTGCTTTTAATATCGGGCCAAAATGCTTCCAAGTGTGGTGGTAAGAGTATGGACGCTAGTAACCAGACTAACGGGTTCCCAGTCTGATTGTGCCACATATGGCCCGTAACCCTGGGTAACCTTCTTACTCTGTGCCTATATCCTTGTCTGTAAAATGCCTCATACGGTGTTGTGAAGACAAAATAATATATTTAAAGTGCTGAGAACAGTGCCTGGCACATGGTAAACACCATGTAAATAGTATTACAATCATATTCTCCTGGTTGTGGGAATATATAAGCTACACACAGCACCTAGCAGTGCCCGGTCCTCTAGAAAGAGAAAAGTTATGGTTCTAATGGATGTCTTCCTTCAGTTTTTGAAGAGCCACTGAGAAACTTCAAAAATCCTCTAAGGAAGTGTAAGTTAAGGTTATAACGCCTCACACAGACTAAAGAGAACAGCTGCAGATCGGAGTTTGGGCAAATACAATGCTGGTGTTATATTAAATATGTCAGCTGCCTTACTGTGAGAGCATTCAAGCTAAGAAAAGAGGCTAATAGACAAAGGTCAAAATGCTAAAATAGGGCACTTGGACAGGGGAAAACATTACCATCAATTAACATGATAATAACATAAACTGATTTCCAGGCTGTAGTTACAAAGTGATTTAAAGACTATAACATTATTCTTGAAAACAAAGAAATAATGAGCCTTTACCAAGGAGCAAAACATTGAATAAACTTTACTAGGTAAGTAAAATACTACTTACACTTTTGAAAGAGGCTGCAAATTCAGCAACACCTGGTACTAAAAAGAAAAATAATATATTATTTATTCAATAAACATTTTAGAGTCCCAGACAAAGAAGATTCAAATAAGAAGAAGCAAACAGCCTCCTCTTTAAGGAGCTTACTGTCTGGGAGAGAAGGTGAGAATAAACCAGTAACTACAGTACTATTTAAGTGCTCCAAGATGGAAGGACCCCCGCCTACTACTGCCACCACCAAAAAAAAAAAAAAAAAAAGGAAAAAAAAAAGAAGGAAATCTAAATCAGACTGAGGGGACAGGAAAAGCTTCTCAGAGAAAATAATGCCTCAGTGAAACTTTGCAGGATCAGGAATTAGCTGAATGGGGGAGTGGCAAGATACAATGTCTCTTACCAAATAAAAGTTTCAATCTCCATTTTAGGTACGCTGTTCTGCCAATCCAATTGTTTATTTAAATATCTCACAGGAAGAACCACATAAAAAAACATAAAAATAAAAAACAAGTATTTAAAACTAAAATGATGTTTAATCTCACTTAGGGACACACAAACTAAACATAATAAAGATCAGTAACAGGCGATGTCAGGTAGTACATGAGTAAATGAGCAACTCTCATACACAGCTGTTCTCTTCCATGTGCCCAGAGAGATTTGTGCGAGAGTAGTCGTTATTAAATTATTTGTAGTATCAAAAACTGGATATAACTTAGATTCCAAAATAGGGTCTGAATACATAAACTATAGTATATTTATACAATGAAATACTTTAAAACAATAGAGTATATCTACATCTAGTGTAACATGGAAGGATCTATTAATAAATTACTTCTACCAAGCAGAATAAGTTAAGCTGCAGACCATGTACATATGACCCCAAAAACGAAAAACCAAAAAATCGCTCTATATAATTTAAAAAATATATTTATTTGCTTAACTATGTAAGTATAAAAAAGGTGAAAAGGATGTGACTGAAGGAGATGAGGAAATACATTAATATCTCTGTATTACAGATTTTTTTAAATAATTATTTTTTAAAGGCTTTCTGTCATCTTCTGAGTTGCATTGTGTCCTGAAAAAATTAAACCACCAAATAACTATTCTTAATATTAGACCACAGAATTCAGAGTCTTCCCTTTGAAGTAAAATTACAATTTTAACCATTACACTTAAATGATATCTCTTCAAAAATCTCCCTCAGTGTAGCACTGGTTCTCCTGCATTAATTCTGATATAAAGAAACCAAAAACTTACATTGTTCTGGCCAAAGGTCTGGTGAGGCACGGTCCAGTTTTTCAAAACTTAACAAAGATGCTTCCAGATCTGTCCCTAGAACAAAATATCCAGATGAGCCCAGATGACACAAAACATGTTAGTTTATATAACATCTCAGTCTCAAAGAACATAACATACTGGAACAGTCATTCATCTAGAAGTCTACAGATCTGGTCTGTATAACTACAGATAAGTGTTATACAAATGAATCATTCTCTCTCATCAAACTTCACTTTTCCTAACCTATCCATGAGGTTAGGTAACAATTACCAACAAACCCACCTGCACCTTCACTCGTCCTCGTGGACTTTCCTCCAGTTACAATCAATTCAGTGTCCCTGCTCTCAAAAAAAAAAAACCCCACAAACTCCTCTGCTAGGATTCTGAATTCCACCTTCTCTTGTTCTATCAAAGGCATCATAAATAATATAGTATCTTTCTTGCACAATCAGTTTCTACTGTCTCAAACTAAACAGCAAGCAAGCCTGCTCTAGAATTTTCCTTCTTTGAAAAAACTTTCTTGACTCCATTACCTCCTCACTCCTCCTTCACCCCCAAATTCTTGAGTTGTCTTATCTATAATGCTGTCTCTACTTCCTCGCCTCACATTCTCACTTTAAAACCCATGACAATCAGGCTTCTATTCCTGTATACACAGAAATTGCTGTTGTCAAGGTTGTCTATGACCTATGCTGCTAAACCCAGTGGTCACTTCTCTGTTCTCTTTTATGTGATCTCTCTGCAGCATTCTTGCACTGCCCACTCTCGAAACACTCCACTTCCAGCTTCTGTAAGACCACTGTGCTGGTATTCCTCCTTTCCTCACTGACCCCTTCCTCAATCTCCTCTTCCACTCAGGCCCCATCGTAAGCTGGCTTCACGTAAAGTTCCCCAAGCAGATCTCATTTAGTCCCATAGCCTTTACCAAGCCAATGATTCCATATTTATATTTCCAGGCCCAATCTTCCCCTGATCTTCAGAGTTATATATCTCAGTAGCTACTTGACATCTCTATCTATTTCACATGTGTAAAAAAAATTCCTTGAGTCTAATACATTCAAACCATAATCTCCTGGTTCTCTGTATCTCAAGAAATACATTCAAACCATAATCTCCTGGTTCTCTGTATCTCAAGAAATAGCACCAACACTCAGATGCTGCCCATTCTTCAGGCCTTCATTTCCTCCACCCTTCCACAAAAAAATATTAGTAAATCCACTAGTTTCTATCTTGAAAATATTCCCTGAAACCAAATTAATTAACCAAGGAACCAACATTTCTCTCCTGGACTACAACAACTTCTTCACAGGTCTCCCTTTACCCATTCTTACCCCTTCCCCTCCACACCCACAAATCTGTTCTCTGCAAGGTAGCCAGAACTGATAAAAAAAAACAAACAAAATGTGAATCAGTTCATGTCACTCTCCAGCTTAACAGACTTCTCCCCAGCTAAATTAATGAATTTGTGTCTACCATGACCTACATGATTCAGCCCAATTCTTTGACACCATTTCCTCGCCACTCTTGCCTGGGCACACACTTACATTTAACGTTTGTTGAAATACATATTGTATGCTCAGTATACTAACTGGTTGTATAAGTTAGTTAATTTAATAATTCAAACAGTAGTTCTTAACATTTTCTGGGTAAGCCACATCTTTTGAAATCCAGAAAAGGGAAAAAGCTATGACTCACTCCCTAGAAAATGTACACATATATCAATTTTTTCAACATGAACTTTTCTCAGAATTGAACTTTTCCCCCAAATATTCTAAGAGAATTTCTAATGACATTCTAATTGATCAAGAACTCAACTCTAATAAATTTCCTTAACTAAAGCATCCAAAAATTATAAGAAAGGAAAGCTGTGTGTAACACAAAATGTTAATTTTCAAATTCCTAAGGAATGTTACCAGTGGGAAGCTCGACCATAATAAAAATAAACTTACTGGGGGTAGAAGCCAATAACCAACAAGGGTGGCTTATGAAAACCACAGTTGGGGACATAACTCAGACTCTGCTGTGACTCTTACTCTCACAATTCAAGTAGATGGCTTTATTTGATTACAATTTTCTTTTTTTCAAAAAAGTCCCAGAAAATTCAGCATTAAAAGGCAAATGAGTAAATGACCTAATCTTTTTCTCTTTTTAAAGATTTTGTTTATTTATTTTCCGAGAGAAGGGAAGGGTAGGGGAAAGAGAGGGAGTAACACATTGATGTACAAGAGAAACATTACTTGGTTGCCTCTCACACACACACAATCAGGGACCTGGCCTGGAACCCAGGCATGTGCCCTGACTGGGAATTGAACCAGTGACCTTTTGTTTCACAAGCCAGCACTAATCCACTGAGCCACAACAGCCAGGGCAATGACTGAATCTTTTCAAATCAACATTATCTGAATTCAGTTTTAAATGTAAGGACACATGGAACACTAAAAATAAAAGTGAAAGAGCTAGGCAGGGAAATATTTTAGGATGATGTACTTATTTAGAAGCTGAATTTAAGATCAAAGAAAGTGCTCAACTTGATTATGTCAGATTAAAAAAAGATTAGGCAGAGAAGTGAAACTTTGTGAAAGATGAAAGTGAAAACTTTTAAGAATCAAGAATGCAGAGAGAAACAATGAAGATGACTGGAAGATAAAAGGAAAAAATACATAACATTCTCAATACTCTTCCTACCCAAAGAAAAGAAATTGAGAGAAGACAGAAAAATCAAACACAAAGAACAGAGCTCTAAAATCTCCAAAACTTACAAATAAACTATAACCTAGTAAACTTAAACATTTTAACAAAAATTACTTATACTTCTATCACTTGGCTAGCTTTCCTAAATTTTGGTAAAATATACATAACAAAATTTATCATTTTAAGTGTACAGTTCAGCAACATTAAGTACATTCCCAATGTTGTGCAACACCGCATCACCACAATCCATCTCCATAACTTTTCACCCTTCCAAACTGAAACTTTGTGCCCATTAAACAATAATTTCCCATTCCCTTGGCTAACTACTTAAATGCTCTCTCTCCCTCCTGCTTTTTTCTGGGGAGGGAAGGGCATTTTAACTGGAGAGCACCCAAGTAGGAGAAAGAATCTCTTTTGACTCTGAACACCAATAATTTCTTATAGTCTACCTCCACCCAAAAAACTTAAGACTCGGTTAACCTGAAAGTTAAGAAGGTAAAGTAATATTATTTATGTATATATCAACTCATTCTTTCAACTATGAACAAGACAAACCTCGAATTTATAACCTACTGTGAAAGGGGCAAAGTTAACAGAATACATATACTATGTTGACAATGAGGGTACTGAGATAGTGAACAATGGTGAAGAGGGGGAAATCCACACACTACATTCCGGGAGGTGACATCTAAAATAAGACCTGAAACTGCAAGAGTTTACATGTCTGATTCACCTTCTCTTCACCCAAAGCACTTAGCATTATGCCTTTCATATAGTAGTCAACCCAGTTTTCCTGGCCTCGATTTCCTCATTCCTGAAATCAACTTTGAAAGATTCATTCTAAATACAAAATGTGTTGGTTTGAGGAGGGTAAACCACGTAACAATAAAATGGACGTGGGGATGGGGGCAGTAGAAGCAAAAAATGAGTTAAGAAATGGCTGAAAGACCCTAACTCTCTTAAGCAGAATAGAGCGCAAAAGGATACGGGTATACCAAACCACTCAGCTGCTGGGATGACTTACATCTTACACAATATACAAGCAGAAATCGTTCACTCACTCAGCCTGAGAAAACGCCTACTGTAAAAGAGAGGCTGAGAAGTGTGCAAGACTAAAGAAATCTCAATTCTCATTTTTCTTGGAACTCTCCTGGCGAGGGGCCAGGAAGGTCCCCCACTTCTCTTGCTGCCAGGACAACCGTACCAATCTGGCGAGACAAAAGAGAACCAAGTTCAGTCCCGGGACGAGGTCGGCCACCAACCCCAGCGAGGGTTGGGGAGAATCGTTCCAGGTGGTCCAAGACAAGAGAACTGACCATTCAATGGATCTCCCCAGAAGAAAGCTACAGTAAGACACCCCCAGCACTGGGGGAAAGAAAGTGTCTTTCCCTCCTCGGTCCTCAGTGAAGTGAGGCTTAAGGAAGCGAAAGGCCCCGGGATGGGTCCCTCCCGGGTGCTGTCCTCCACTCGCCTGGTACACAGGGGGGAAACTGGGCACCTCTGGAGCAGCTGTGAAGGATCGGCGAGGTGAAAACGCACCCGCATCCTAAGGAAGAGAAATGGAAGGGAAAAGAGAGGAGCCCAAGAAAAAAGTGTAAGTTTGACGGGCAGACGGAGAGCGAAAGTCGACAGGGGAGCAGGCGAAAGAAGGATCTCTAAGCCGGCTCTTACCCTCTGTGGGAGACGCCATCTTCCAACCCATGTCACGTGACGTGGCCAACCGTCGGCGGGAAAGCTGTAACCCACAAGCCACGCCCCCAAAGAAAAAAAAAAAAAACCCCATCCTCAACGCCCAGTCCCATCTCGTTTCTCCCCCACCCCCATAGGGCAGTCTTTGCCTAGCCCCGCCCCCAGTGCTAGTCGCAGCCCCTCGCGCACTGGAAGAGGCGGAGCGCCTGCAAAATTCTCGGAGAGTTTTATTTACTTTCCTCATTGGGGGTGGGGCCGCAGTCGTTCCTGTGGCCAATCGGGGTTCCCTGTTAGGGGGTGTCTTCCCTGCGCGCTGAATACAGAGCACCCAAGTTAGGAGCGTCTTCCCTACCTCCGCCAACAGAATTTGCTGAGGTGGGAGAGGGGAGAGAGCGTTTCACTTCTGACCAATCGCCTACCCCCAAAACTGGAAATGGGGGTGGGGTCAGGAGTCACGGTGAGTGATTGGCTGGGGGAAATGGTCCTCTCCACCAATGAAGAGGTGCGACAGGATGGTGGGGCGAAGAGGAAAAATTGCAGCCGCAGTTTTTCTAGGGAGTCACTGGGAGTAGAGGCCCCGGGAGGCGGAGGAGCAGCAGCCTGGAACCATGGCGGCGGTGGTGGCGGCGGCAGCAGTGCGGGCTCGGATCCTGCAGGCGAGTGAGGGTGGCACTGTGGGGTCGCGGAGCTAGGAATTGGATCCTTGCCGTCCACTCTCTGACTCAACCCCTTCGTGGCCGACCCTGCCGTTTCCACAAGACGTGCGGCCCTGTCCTTTCCACCTCACTCTGTATTCGCACTCATTGGGTCCAGCTCCAGATTAGCACCCCTGCCCTTTTCCACTTTTCGTTTTGAGCCTCCCCTTATCTGGCTCTGGCCCACTCTCCTCCTCTAGCCCTGCCCCGTTACTGCTGTCACACTCTCTTGCCCTCACCTGTGCTCGGTACCGCCACATTCTTTACTTTGCACTTCTCCACCTGCCACCTCTCTCTCTAGAAACTCCCGTCTGGTCACTTTTTTTAGAGCTTTTGCATCTGTCAGGAGCGTCCAGATTGTTCCCTTCTCCGACTTTATTTCACTGTCCACAACCCGAGCTTAAGAGGAGGAGGGGACAGAAGAGGGGCGAGGTCAGTGGGTGGACTTTGAATCGTCTTCTAAAAGTGTTTTTCTCCGAAGCAGCCGTTTGCTAAGCTATGTTCCACAGGCCACGGGCTGTCCCTTCGTTTGCCAGGACTTTCAGTTAAACTTGCTCTCAGCAAAGTTACAGTGTTTATGGTGGTAGTAAATAACACACTTACGATACTAGTTTGTCTCAAGCACATACAAGGCACTAATCATCTCTAAAACAGGTAATAGAAAATGGGAGTCAAGGAAGACAAGAAGTTTGAGTTCCAAGTTCTTGCTCCTAAGTCAGTGGGCCAACACACCCTCAACACTGCCCATGGGGACTGGGGTGGTTAGGTCCTCTAGGAAGCCACTTAAGGAGGGTTGGTAGAGCTACAGGAGCTCATGCCTGAGACCTGTGACCTTCAACTCTGTTCATAGTCTTTCCCTTCTTGTTCACAGTTTAGCAAGGACTTGGAATGTGAGGCAAGATTTGCTGCAGACAACATTCTCCAACCTGCAAGAAACAACATTGCCCTTCCTACTCATTACATCCAGCCTGGGAACTTCTTCCTTTATACTGCTGGACTTTTAGATACTATTGGTATTTACCAGGTTTAATGAGTTCTGCTGCATAAACTTACTCATTTTTAGGATTCTTAGCAGAGTCAGCAAAGGTTAACGTTTAAATATGCTATTTAATGGGAAAGTGTGGGGTATGGGTTGGAAGGTTTGTCGGATGATCTGGCTTCATTCGTCTATTTCTTGCTGTCATCCCAGTTTTGTTTTTCTAGTATCCTTTTTTAATAGTAGGAATGCAAAGTTTCCACCCTGTGTTTCTAAGTCTCCTTGAAATCTTTTAATGAAATTGAATTTTTCCTTTGCCTCCTTCCTGGCCCCTCAGTCACACTGAGTGATTAAGGAGAGCATCTGCCCCTGGCTGGTGTGGCTCAGTGGGTGGAACACCAGCCTACAAACCAAACTTGCTGGTTTCATTCCTAGTTAGGGCACATGCCTGGGTTGCAGGCCAAGTCCCCACTTGGGATTGATGTTCCTCTCTCATTCTTCCTCCTTTCCCCTTTCTCTAAAAATAAATAATCTCTTTCAAGAAAAAGAGATTCTTAAGAAGATTTTTACCTTTTGCATCAAGGAGAAAAATCTCCCTTCCTGTGTACTTTATTTTGGAAACACTCTATTTTCTTACTTATTTGAAGAAACTTCTGAGTTGAATTGGAAAAGAACAGAAACAGTAATCCTTATCCAACTAGTAGTTACTGTAACATGAAACATGATAAAGAGCAGTCTAGATTCCAGCAGTCATGAATTTTAGATTCATGAACTATCAAAAGGACGTGTAAAGGAGAAAGTTTGTGACCTCAGTTAAAGTGCATGTTCAGCATAGCTTCTCTGTTCCGGTGGCTAGTAAAATTTAGAACTGATGCTCCTTGTGTTATGATGCCCAAAACCAGACTTAAAGAGAGTCTCAGTGACTTGACTCAGTGATGCATAAAAAGCACAGGCTTCACAATCATACTTGGATTTTATCCCACCTCCAACATTTTCTTTCTTTAAAAAAAAAATTATTCATTTATTTATAGACAGAGGGGAAGGGAGGGAGAGAAACATCAATGTGTGATTGCCTCTCACATGCCCCCTACTGAGGACCTAGCCTGCAACCCAGGCATTTGCCCTGACTGGGAATCAAACCAATGACCATTTGGTTCACAGGCTGGCACTCTATCAACCAAGCCACACCAGCCAGGGCCAACATTTTCTAGTTTTAAGAATATTTGTGAAGAGTACAGTTAATTAATATAACAAGTAAATTACCTAACACTTATAACTAAAGTCATCCAAGGTTTCCCAACTAGACCCGGGACTTAAATCTTGGCATCACTTTCTGTGTCAGGCACTTTCCCCAGGCTTTGGGAAAGGGCAGGTAAATAAAATACTTACTGAAATATCCATTATTAGAATTCAGCAATAAGTGCTAAACAATAGGAGTGTAACAGGGTGAAGCCAAGGGGGGGACCTCCTAAAAAAGGGATTTGGAATGGGATCCAGAACTCAAGGTGTCCAAAATATATTAAGATGTCCTCACCCCTTCCCCCCACAGGTGTGAGTTGGGGAAGGGACAAGTGGAGCAGGGCCATTGAGAGCTCTTTTGTACAGCAAAGGCTTTGCAGCTAACCTCTGGCATGGTCATTTAACATATCTATAACCTTTAACCGGTTACATAGATATGCTAAATAGCTGTGGCCATGCTCTGAGCCAGGGGGATGAAAGTGACTTCCACCCAAGATGTAACTGGGGGCAGGTCCCCTGAGTTACAGCGCCTGCGGCCTGCCTGGGAGCTTGGAGAAGATTGGCTCCAGGACATCGGCCACACCTGCCCAGACTCACTATGGCAGCCCAGTAAACTTGGAATAATACAGGAATGCTGGCAAACATAGCCGATTGTAGGAGGAGTCGGAAATGGGGCTGCAAAGGAGGACTGGTGTGGGGGATTTAAACCCAGACAGGGCAGCCATTAAAAGAGAGGGAACCACACAGCTGTGGCAGTGCAGAGAAAGAGCCACGTCCTTTTAGCAGAGTGAGGACCCCCTCTTGGCTCTGGTGGAAGAAGGGAGGACCACGAGGCTTAGTCAGAGTGCAGACCCCTGCAGCTCTGGTCGAAGAAAGAACCACGTGGTTTTGGCCAGAGTGCAGACCCCTGCAGCTTTGGTAGAAGAGGCCCACGCAGCTTTGGGGTGCTCCCTTTTGCCACATGACCTGGGAAGCAGGAGAGACTTTGCCTGGAAAGATGGGTACAAAGAATCCTTGCCAGTAGCCCATGAGAAGGTGCCACATGACTTTGGATTAATTAGAGATCCTGCCTGGGCGGCGACACAGCTGATGGTACCAGTGGCCTGGAAACACGGACATGTGTTCTTTTACTGAGTTAGGGCAGGGGGAGAAGGGAGCAGTGTATGCCTCCGTGGATATCCTAAAGGACTTTGATATTTTAATGAAGACATTAGGTCACTACTTTAAGTCCGTATAGCATTAAATAAACCTTTCCTTTTCACAAATCTCTGGTATTGAGAGATGTTTTTCTGATTGGCAGCAGACAATTGAACCCAGTAGATGGTCCAGATGGTATTAGTATACCATGCTCCGGGGTCCCGGCCCCTGTGTGTCTGTTCTGTAACAGGAGTGCATGGCATGTTGGGGCAACATATGGGAAGAGCCCCAAACTCAACCTGTGCAATTCAGGAAAGTCTTCCAAAAGGAATTGGCTCTTGGCTCGAGTCTTGCAAGACTAGCACACCTTTTGCCAAGTGGAGAAGGAAGCTCCTGGTAAAGGAAATAGCGAATACAAAGTAAACACTGAGAGAGCAAGAATTTTGATGTGGTGGAATGTAGGATAGTTTCTGCAGCAACAGTGCCAATGATTATTTCTTGGGAAATGAAGAAAAGGTAGGCAATCTAACCTGTCAAAAACTATGTGATAATGTTTTTTTATACCAGATACAGTGCCTTTTATGCCTTCTTGATAGCAGGGCGGCTGAGTGCAAGTGAAAAAAATAAAACTAAGTGGCCTAGAATGTTCAAGTTGGCTGATCCATGCATTTTCTGCCCTATTAGAAAGCATACATGAAACAAAATTAATATCAAATGATTTCTTGGTGAGTACTCATTCTTTCATTTTGCAAAATATGACTGAGGGCTTACTCTATTCCAGGAACAGTGCTAGGGGTTGAGGACACAACCATCTAGTGATCTAGGGGGAAAGGGACTTAATAATTAAACAGATGTTATTTCATAATACGATATGAGGAACAGAAGAATCCAGGTGTTGTGTGAACTCCACAACAGGTACTTAGCCTACGCTAAGACCTGAGATTGACACTTAAAAACTTCCCAAGTCTGCCAGTTCTGTCACTCCCAGGAATTAAGCTTGTTTCTCCTTCAGAGGAAACAAACCACGAAGTGAGAAATTCCTCAACTCCCCACTAACCGACCTACAAAATTGACCTGCACCTACATGCCAAAGTGATGTCTAAGTAGGGAGCGAAGGAGTAGGAGTGAACCAAACAAACGGGATGAAGAAGTTTCAGACAAGAAGATAAGAGTATGTGCAAAGACAAAGCTCAAAACGTGTTCCAAAAGGCTGGAACAGAGAGCAAGGAGGGATGTGGTAATCTATGAAACTTGAGAAGTAAAGATACTGTTTGAAGTCCTCTACACGACATTAAGATCAGTCTTTTTCCCCAGGGCAGTGGAAAGCCATTGGAGGGTTTTAAACAAGGGGGTTGTCTGATCAGATTTGTGTTCTAGAAAGACCCCCTGGCTATGGGGTAGAAGCTAGGTTCAGAAGATTTAAAGTTGGAATCCAGGTGAGAGGTAATGGTGGTGTGGGTGTAGCAGGAGAGCTAGAGAAAAAGGGGTATATTCAGAGATTTCTGGAGGAACAAATCGGCAGGACTTGTTTTATTCACTGTGAGGGCTTGGCATGACATTGAGGTTTCTGGTTAGGCAACTAGGTGAATAGTGAGTAGTTCATTCACTG